TTGGATTTTTAGGGGTCGGCTCTTGCCGAGCGGCCAGGGAATCTTCAGCATTCATGTATTTCTGGGCTTTGGATAGTAGGGCTGCCATGGTGGTTGGAGGGTTTTTGGAGAGGGAGAAAAGAAAATCGGACGACCGCAGGCCGGCCATGAAAGCCGTGAGGATGACCTTGTTGTCATTCTCCGCTACTTGAAGGGCTTCGGTGTTGAAGCGGGTGACGAAACTGCGGAGCGACTCCCCCTAGGTCTGACGAATGTTAAGGAGTTGGGTGGCCGGGCGTCTCTGACGCTGGGCTCCGATAAAATGGCTCAGGAAAGAGTCACCGAGGTGTTGAAAGGTGGAGACGGAGTCCGCCGGTAACTGGCTAAACCACAACCGAGTTGATTCCTTCAGTGTCACGGGAAAAGCTCGGCACATGATCTCGTCAGGGAGGGCATGGAGGATCATGAGGGTGCGGTAGGTTTCCAGATGGTCGACTGGGTCCGTCGTGCCATCGAAGGAGTCAATGGTAGGCATTTTGAACTTGGCGGGCAGTGGTTTGTCGCAGATGGAGGCAATAAAAGGCGAGTTGGCGGTGACTGAGGGCTTGTGCTGAATGTTCTGCATGACCCCTTGTAGTTGGAGCTTCATAGCTCGGAGTTCAGCGTCCCAGAGGGGAATGTTGTCGCCATGGTCGGTCAATGAAGGCTGGACACTGCTGGCTTCCCCCTCAGGGGCTAGTGCTACAACTGACGGGCGTGGAGGTGGAGGTGGTAGGCTCATATGTGGAGGAGGAGGCGGTTGTAAACCTTCTGGGTTGAGCGGAGGAGGTTGTGGAGCAGTGTGGCCCGGGGTTCTTTCTTGGTTGGGTGGAATATCTGGAGGTGGAACGGGGAGGTTTCTTTGGAGTAAAGCACTGATCAGGGCCTGGTTTTGCTCGGCCATGCGGTTAATGCTATTAGTGAGTTCGATGATGTATTGTGGTGGGTTGTTTGGATGGGAAGGGTCTGTTTGATGATCGGCGATATTATGGTGAGAAGCCATGGACCTAGTCGTGACCATACACCTAGACGGGTAAGAGGAAAATGTAACGGTGAGAAAGGAGGGCTCCGGCGATAGTGAACACAACTAGCGCACGAATAAACCACAATTTCCCACAGACGGCGCCAACTGATAATGCAGTTCGTCCTGGGTGGATGGGCCGGGCTGTTCCAAGCTCCTCAAGTTCCGATTCAGGCGGATGATTCCTCTAGATGACCTGCAAGCAAGTCCAAAGGGAAACGGGGTAGTCCTCCAGTGAACCCTCCGGCGTGCGAATCAGTAGAGGAGGAAGGAAATACAGAGAGAGAGAGAGAGAGAGAGAGAGAGCGAGAGATAGAAAAGCTTAACCTTCCTCTTGTCTTCGATTCTTGCTTATATCCTTTGGTAATTATTTCACTGTCCCTTGTGACGTGCCCCATTCCGCCGAAAGCCTGTGCCGTAGCTTACCTTGTTCAGGGTGAGGGGGCTCTGTTCTGACGGGGAGGTGTTGTCGTAATAAATGCTGTGATGGGCTGCATTAATGGTGATGTGTTGTGGCAATAACTCTGCAGATCTTTGTCTGCTGACATGGCCTGTGTTTCACCTGTCATGTGCCCGAATTCCATTGGCCCTCCATGTCCAGATGGCCTCCAACTGTCCTGGGCTTTGCCAACCGGGTTATGCTATGGGTCCCAAGCGATGGGTTTGGGGTTGTTTGCTGTGGGCCGTAAGCCTTGTGGGCCTATCCATGTCATTTTTATTTTTATTTTTAAATCTATGTAATTGTTAGACCATGCTATTGATTAAGCATACTGCGAATACAAAATTATTGAAAACACGATAATTAGGCCTAGTTTGGGAAGACTAAATAAGTGCATTTTTTGACTTTTTATGAAATATGGGTTGGATTTGGGTTGGGTTTGAAGTGATGTGTTAGAGAGGTGATGTAACTTAAATAAGATGATGTGACTTAAATAAGATAGTGACTTTTTGACTTTTTATCTTTTTTTAATCATGCCAAACTTGACTTTAGTCCGCACAATAGGCTTGTACTGATGTTGTAGCAGATTGTACCCCTAAGAAAGGCATTAACGAGCTGTTTGTTAGGGTTAGGCCAGGTGGGTCACCAACGCAACTGTCACAGGAAGGAGACGCCAACGTGGCCTCTCTTTACTCCAAAAGTTACAATTGTGTGCATCCTCACCTTGTTGTACCCAATCAAATCATGATATCAACGTGCCAAAATTGATCAAATGTGGGGACAATTGTGTATTTTTGACAAAATTGAAATGACATTATTACCCTCTATTCCACACGTGGCGTGTTTCTGTGAGGTGTACAAGAATCTTGTGGTGAGGAACACTTGTACACAGCTTGACGATGAAATCGAAGTACTCTCTCTCTCTAAAAGCATGAACTAGGCCATCTCTCTCCCTCAATCTCTCCGTCCTCTTTCTCTCTCTAAAAACACACAATTTTCTCTCTCTAGGTTCTAATTGTTTATAAAAGTTTCAACTCATTGTCCATTTGCTTCCTATCCATACATTTTTGAAACAGAAAACAAAACATAGTATTTGTTTGAATCGAATGGCTGTGGTTTTTCAAGGAATCGGAGCTGCGACAGCGCTCTCGTCTACCAATGCTTTCGATTCCAAAAGATTGCTGTTCTCGTCTCGCATATCGCTCTTAGGTTTCATTTCTGGCTTGTTTTGGACCCATTCTTGATTCAATTGGCTTTCAATTCTGTAAATTTATTGTTTTGATTTTGTGTTTTGATTTGTTTCAGAGAGGAAATCAAGTTTTTTCGTTGTAAGATCCGATGGGAGATTGAAGTTTGGTTCAAATCCCAGACATCGCAAAGCTGATCAATTGATTACAAATGCAGTTGCAGTAATCTCTCTCTCTCTCTCTTGTATATTGCATAGATAAACATTCATTATATCGATGTCTAATGGAACTTAACTTTGATTTTGTGTGAATTTGTCAGACAAAAGCTGATAGTTCAACGCCTTCAACGGCATCCAAACCTGGGTATGCTCAATTTCTTTTGTGTATACGCAGTTTTTGATTAATTCTTGCTGTTTAGTTCAAAATGTTTATCTTACCTTCATCTATTCTTCCATTTTGTTATAAGATACTGCTTCTCTAAGCTTGTGTTTAATTTACGGATTTTGGAAAAGATTTGAAAAGGGAAAGGGTATGTGAAATGTAGCAATATTTTGATTCATATTTGACCTACATTTTCCTTTTTCTTTTCCAAATCACTACCCAAATCCATGAAAACCTAAATGATGGTTCATAGTGGATCTGGTTAATCACTTGAGAATAATCTCTATTAGGGAGTATGTAAAAACAGAAAAAAGAATGTGCAACTTTAACAAATGACCTTGCAAATCATGGTTAGCCGGACCCTATTTTTCATTTTGTAGTGATCAAATCAATTAAAAGTGTAGTTTGAATTCTTGCCCCTTTGCCCATTAAGTCCTTAGCAACCAATTAGGGTGTCAGTGAAATTTTAGTTGAACTTTTTTTTTAATTATTTTATTGATTTTGGCAACGGTAAAATTTTAAGTTCAATAACAAAATTCTTTACCCTAACTGAGACGTACTGTGGTTACTTAAACTTCCTAGATAGTCAAGCTGAATTAATTTTATTTTGACTATATGCAATTAGAACTATGCTTTGAGGCTCTATATGGTCATTTAGTTGTCTCTGTTTGAAATGGAAAGTACCTTTCAGGGTTTTTGACAGGGTTAAGTCAGATTCTTATATATTTATTTTTGGACTGCAAGAAATATTACATATTATATTTCGAAGGCAGTTGCTTTGTATGATGGTAAAAAGATTGGTTTTCAAGCATGAGAATGCACCTTTGACTTTGAAAGCCACTTTGTGCACATAATGCTAAATGTTAGATCTTTACCAGTCTACTCGTAGAAGTAAGAAGCATGGACACATCTAAGAAGGTGGCGTGTCCGTGTCAAACACATGTTGGACATTGTAACTCATCATACAGTTCTTGACACTTGTCAAACACTTGTCCAAACATGTCCTATTATATTTTAATTTCTTTAGACCTGAACATAAGCTGAATGCTTGGTTACACACTTGTTCATCGCTTAGACACATGAAACACATTATAAATTTGAATAAAATAAGTTAGATTACAATGATAATAGAAACACAATGTAGATTTATAACTATTAAATTTGAATAAAATAAGTTAGATTACAATGATAATAGAAACACAATGTAGATTTATAACTATTAATCCCTTCTCTTTAAACCTTAGGAATTTGTGTTTTTTTTTATTTTTATTTATTATCCTTGACTGAAATATTATTATATATGATATGACATATAATAAATATATAAAACTTTTTTTGTTTTTTTTTTTTTGTGCCTCTCCCACATGTATCATGTCCTGTAGTTTTTGTTAACTTGTTTTGTCCATGTCTGATTTGCCTTCTCTTTAAACCTTAGGAATTAGTGTTTTTTATTTATTTATTTATTATCTTTGACTGAAATATTATTATATATGATATGACATATAATAAATATATAAAACTTTTTTTGTTTTTTCTTTTTTGTGCCTCTCCCACATGTATCATGTCCTGTAGTTTTTGTTAACTTGTTTTGTCCATGTCTGATTTGTATCACATGTTCGTGCTTCTAGGTCTACCCTTCTTAGCATCCTGCAATGGTGGGGTTGCTTTTCTTTTTCGTAAAAAAGAGAAAAAAAAGAACATTTGCAAAAAGTCTAGAATATGCATAAGTTAACTAACTTATCAATGTTTCTATCCTAATTTGTATTCTTTTTAATTGCCAATCTTCCTTGCGTAGTTCAAAGCAAAGTTACCTGGAATGCAGAATATTCTAGTATGAGGAACACGAATGGGAATGAGAACATGGGAAACCATGTGCTGTAAAATGTGATACATTAGGGGTAGGCTTCTATAGATCACATTATTGGAATTTGTTAAGGCACTTCAAATAGTCAGGGCATTCTTTTGTTAACAATTAGGTATCCAATTTAACACAATCTATTATTCTTTAAATTAGTCATGTAGAAACACATTTTTAGGACACTATGACTTGTTTATTACATTGTCTTGCCAAAACTCTTCACTGTAGATTTTATTCAATATATCCAATTCATCTCTTCTAAAGCTTAAGGAAAAATGCTAAGAAAATAAATAGGTAAAAAAAATTGGATTGATAAATTCATTGTTTGGTACAAAATTGTGTTATGTTGTGGAATGTGAGTTCCAAAATGAAAATTACTAGGATATTAGTGTTTTCTAGTAACATTGGTTCATAGTGTTATTTTTGGCATCATTTATTCTTGTTAGACCCATAAAATACAATTTCCTTAGGAGCCATTTAGATTGGGTGCTCGTGTTCAGGTAGGCTAGGAAGTCATTTCTTCTTCTTTAAAGAGCAAATGCATTCTGTTGGATAACAAATATGTTACGAATCTTATTTTAATTCTAGTACTTGGTGGATGTGTGTGTCATTTTGTAGGCCTATACAATTATATGGCATGTACATATGTTTGGGATTGTTTTTGAGGTCTGAAACTGATTAAATGATCCATCTTGTGTGGGTTAATCCTAACTGTATGGGAATTAGGATTTTTGGAGTTTGTAGACTTGTAGAAATTATAGGATTAATGAGATTAAGCGATTTTGTCGAGATGTAGAGGAGACAGAAAAATAGCATTGAGCGAGGAAATGGTGTGGCTTCAAGGCTCATGGACACCGAGAATGAGTGGCAAGTGGAGATTGTGTCCAGGATCAAGTATTAATGATGGATCTTGTTTTGGGTGTTTTTTGTCTCATATTTGTAATCTCTACTTTTTATAGTTGATTGATTTGCCTTGTCTGTACACATAGGAAGTTTTGTTCTAAACCATATAATTTTTTAACGTTTTTATTTTTGGATCATGGGTTTGCTTCCACATGGTGTGAAGGATTCGTAACTTAACAATTGGTATAAGAGCTTCTGCATGCACAAATCGTATCAAAGTCGAGGTAGCAGAGTCATGATTAGAGGACAAGGAAAAAAAATCTTGACTTCATTCAAATAGATTAGGGATTTTGACTCCCAAGAAAATATTAATAAAAAGAAAAAGAGTTCGCAATTGCTTCTTGCCTTTAGTAACAGGAGCCAACACATGGCATTGTCGGTGAATGGAGCAGCACAAATTAAAGTAGTGGGCTTGTTCTTTTGTCAAGTTGTGACAAAGGTAAAATAATAAGTGATTTTTTGTTCCGGTTGTGAATAGAATGTAGGAGAAAAGTCAAAAGGTTGGTGAGTTTCTAAGAAGCACGGACACGGACACGTGACACGACACGGATACGACACGGACACGCTGACACGTTAATTTTCAAAAAATGAAGGACACGACACGTAGGGGACACGCATGAAATATGTAATTTTATATATTTATTATATGTTATATATATTAATATATCATTCAGAGATAATAAAAAATGCAATATGACACTAATTCTTATAAATTTATATGATTTTTGTTTTATTATTGTATCTTAAGTTATTTTGTTTAAACTTATAATTAGTTTCACATGTATCCAATCGATAGACACGTGTGTTTATGTGATTGACATGTGTGTCTTCCAAGTATCCAAAGAGTGTTCGGCTGTTTAAAAAAATTTAAAAATTAGGACACGTTTTGAAGAGTGTCGGACACGTGTCCTAAGAGTGTCCAAAGAGTGTCGGTGTCCGACACGGACACAACACGGATACGTCACCTTCTTAGAAGTGTCCGTGCTTCTTAGGTGAGTTTGGCTTAACAAGGGGCATGATCCGGTGAGGTGTGTGACATGTCGAGGTGACAAAAAATTCCACCTAATTCTGCTAAATTTTCATTTTCTGAAATTCAAGGAGAAGGTGTTCAACGGCTTTTAGGCGTTGTGGATTCATTGGTGTATGGATATTCGGAAATGACATAGAAATACAGGAGAGTCGGTGTATGGATAAGAAAGTGTGCAAGACTATGACCAGAAAAGAGCAAAAGTTGTCGAACTTCACAAGAAAGCATCAAACATAGATTGAGACAGTTGATATAATGAGATGATTCACATCTAAGGAAAAGCGAGTCCCTTTTACATGGGAGTTTTTGTAGGAATAATCTGTCCAGTTGAGATCAAGCATGAGGAGCATTCTCCTGGATGAGTGTGCGTGGCCACCTTGGTTGGAAGTGCGGACTGTGCAGGTTTGTGTGGTAGATTGCTGACAAGCGGTAGAATTGACATCAATGTCGATTATCTTCAAGATGGTTTGTAAAATTTAAGACAATGTGGAGATTGTTAGGTTTGTATATTGTATTTTGTAGGCGCATATAGTTATTGACCTTGTACATGTGTTTGGGTTAGGTTGTGGATCCAGTACCCACTAAGGGTAGCTAGGATTTATGGGATTTGCCTATAAATTGGAGAATTGTAGAAATTATAGTATTAAATAGATCCAGAGGGTTTGTTTGTAGAGATGTAGAGGGAGATGAAACATATTAGTGAGTGCAGGGGAAACTAGGAATTATTCCGAAACGGGATTGTTTCAAGGTATGAGTACTGGTGTCAGGTTTTTGGTCTCATATTTGTAATCCCTACTATTTTGTGTCAATTGAGGTTTTCCCTCTGCCCGTGGACGTAGGCAGATTTGAGGTTCTTGCCAGCAGTCATAATGATGCTTGATTTTATTTAAATGAAAACTGTGAGGTGCTTATTTCTGGGTAATACTATTTCTGTTTTAAAATGAAATGGGTCATGGGTGTGCTTCCTTGTGGGATTTGTTGTTGTACATTTCTTCCAAAAGGTACTGTGCTTTGAAGCTCACATGTAAATAATGTTTGTGAATAATAATTGCATATTATGACTTTGTGTTTGGCAGTTACCTTTTATGTACAATTAGCTCTATTATAAATAGAATATGCTGCATTGTTACTATCAAATGCATGTCATATCTCTGCATTGTCTTTGCATTCAAATCTACTTGAGGATAAATGCTATAAATACCATGTTACGTTCACTTAACACGTGCACATGGGTAAAGAGAGCCAAATTAATGGCACTGAATTAAATCCCATCTTTCTGCATTAATATTTGTTATTGCTATGGTTTGTTTGTTGATAATACAGTCGATAAATTAACCTTCCATCCTCAGGCATGAACTTTTACTTTTTGAAGCCCTTCGTGAAGGCCTGGAGGAAGAAATGGAGAGAGATCCCCGGGTGTGCGTAATGGGTGAAGATGTAGGTCATTATGGAGGGTCATACAAGGTGACAAAAGACCTGGCCAATAAGTACGGTGATCTCAGGGTTCTTGACACCCCCATCGCCGAGAACTCTTTCACAGGCATGGCCATTGGAGCTGCTATGACTGGCCTTAGACCAATCGTTGAAGGAATGAACATGGGATTTCTCCTTCTAGCTTTCAACCAGATATCCAATAACTGTGGCATGCTTCACTACACATCTGGCGGACAGTTCACAATCCCAGTGGTTATCCGGGGACCTGGTGGAGTTGGTCGACAACTTGGGGCTGAGCACTCGCAACGCCTCGAGTCTTACTTTCAATCAATCCCTGGGATCCAAATGGTGGCATGCTCAACCCCTTATAATGCCAAGGGCTTAATGAAAGCTGCCATTCGAAGTGAGAACCCTGTGATACTATTCGAGCACGTTTTGCTTTACAATCTGAAGGAGAGGATTCCCGATGAAGAATATGTATTGAATCTTGAGGAAGCAGAGATGGTTAGGCCCGGGGAGCATGTGACTATCCTAACCTACTCTAGAATGAGGTATCATGTGATGCAGGCTGCAAAGACTTTGGTAAACAAAGGGTATGATCCCGAAGTTATTGATATCAGGTCACTGAAACCATTTGATCTTCACACAATTGGGAATTCAGTGAAAAAGACACATCGTGTACTGATTGTAGAGGAATGCATGAGGACAGGTGGAATTGGGGCTAGTTTGACAGCAGCTATTAATGAGAATTTCCATGATTATTTGGACGCCCCGGTTATATGTTTGTCGTCACAGGATGTGCCAACGCCATATGCTGGGACGTTGGAGGAATGGACTGTGGTTCAGCCAGCCCAGATTGTTACTGCAGTTGAGCAGCTCTGCCGGTAGTGGGCAGCAGCTAAAAGTAGCTGCTGTGCCTAAATTGCAGATCTGATAGGACCTTGTGTTCCTAATATCTATGCTATAGTTATGGTTTGCAGCTTTGCTTTGAATTTCTGTTGTATTTGAGATTTTGCTGGGAGGGTTTTGTGGTGTTTAAGAACTTGCAATTGTTTATTTAGTTGAGATGTTTTTGTCTGTTGTTTTCAGCACGTTCAATGGTAGTTAGGATTCTTGTTTATGTACACCCAAGCACAGATCGGAAATGTGAGGATTACAATTGTGATACCTGATTTTGCCTACTAAATTCTGATACATTTGGATAACTGATATACACAAAAATATGCTTAAATGATCATATATTGTTTTAATTCATGGAATTTTGGTTTGGACCTTTTTGCTTCTCGCTGCATTGACCAAAAAATTGGGGTAACAAATGGAGTGAAACACAATATAACTTGAAGATCATCTGGTAGGCATTCTTTCTCATACAGCTCAGTAATACTTTCCCAGCTATGGCTCTCTTTGGTTTGATTTTTAAAATCTGTTTAAAGAAGATTTTTAAATTTAAAATTAATTTGATAAAAAATAAAATAAATAAAAAATACTTATAATTTTTATATAGTATTGTCTTTTAAGAAGGTAGAAAAAAATTTTTAAAAAAATTGATATTTATTTTTATTAAATTAATTTTATTTTATTTTTTAAATTTTGAAGACAGTTTTTGAAAATGAAACCAAATTTCTTATATAGTATTATTTTTTAAGAAGGTAAAAATAATTTTTAATAATTAAGAAAAAAAATTGATATTTATTTTTCTTAAATTAATTTTTATTTGTTTTTAAATTTTTAAAATAGTTTTAGAAAATGAAACCAAATTTCTCTCTTAAAATTCCGCATGCAATGGGCATTTCAAATTAACAACTCAAGAAAAGACCATCAGAACATATAAAAATCTTGAGGTGACAAACGGACAGGTTTGTATGGATCAAAACGAGTTGTGCATTAATATAATTTAATCTAGATATGCTCATTTGATAAACAGATTTCAATTGGTTGGTTGAATTGAGAACGAATTAGACAAATTAACTCAACTAACCTGTTTATTTTATTAAATTCTTTTCTTAATAACAGAGGTGGACGTGGAGGCGGAGATGGAGGCGGAGGTGGAGATGGAATGATTGTAGTGATGGTGGTGGAAGTTATAATGGTAGGGGTGGTGATGTTAGTAGTTGTGGTAGAGGAGGTGGTGGCGGCTGTTAATGGTGGAATTGTGTTGGGTACAATGGGTAGTGTATTATATATATATATATATATATATAAAAGAAAGAAGAAAAAAAAAAGAATCTTTAGATAGTACTTTTTATTTTACTTGAATAAAAATAGAATGAAATGATTTTTTTTTAATTAAAATATTTATTTTCATATTTGATTTATTAAAAAAATAATAAAAATTATATTACAAAAAAATACAGAAGTTAAGAAATTACCATTTTAATTTCATTCTATTTAAACCCTTAAATAATATTTAAGTAGTTATAAAAAAAAAAACTTAGGAGCTGTTTGTTGCACCTTAAATGATCTAATTATAATTTATTTTAATTTAAAAGTTTGTACTAAACTGTTTGGTATAATTTTTAGGTAAAAATAGTTGAAAAAAAGTTAATTATCTAAAAGTGTTGAGAGGCGTGTTCTTTACTTTTACTTTCTACGCTTTTTAACTTATAATAACTCCTAAAGTCTATATAAATTTGATTTTGTCCTTCAAAATTCAAATAATTTTAGCTTACCACTTGAAATCTCCTAATTACTCTATTATCACAATATTTTCCAATTGCTCTTTATAATTAAATTTAACCACATCTTGCCATCATTGTCATGGACCCTTCACATGTTTTTATACTTTTTATTTGTACTCTTTAGACTGACTATTATCAAAATATACATTCATATCAATTTGTTAAGAGATTAAGATCTTGTTTATCAATTATACATTTTTGTTAAAAAATTAAAAAGTTATTATAAATTGTCACTTACTCTCTCTATTTTTTTGTATATTTTTTTGTAAAAAGTAAAAAAATTACTAAAATAATTTGTCCCCAAATGAGGCCTAAGCTGCGATTTGGTTTGTGATTATTTTTAGGCTAAGTTTGGGAAGTCCCAAATAAGTCAAAAAGTCAAAAAGTTACTCAAAAAGTTAAAAAGTTAACACTATTCACCAAAAGTCAACAATTACGGCTGCACAACTCCCAATTTAAATTTTCCTCTACAAACTAATTTTTACAATTTTTTATTACACATTTTTCCATAAAAAGTCAAAAAGTTAACCCAAACATCCATATTTTCAATCTCAATTTTTTAGTTCAAAAAGACAAAAAGTGCACTTATTTAGTCTTCCCAAACTTGGCCTTAGTTAACTTTTTAGCTAACTTAGCTTCGGTTAAAAAATTTGTTTGGGTTGACTCTTTTTATTTTTTTTTAATTTTTTATGAAAAAAATAAAATAATTATTTTTAGATGTAACATTTTATTATTTTATCAACTTTTAAACTTATTTTGTCTTTTTAAAACTAATTTAGCCCAAAAAACTAATACCAAACGAAACCTAAGAAAAATATTTTACAAGGTAAAGTCCTCACCTCTTGAGCAAGAGCAATGGTAAACTCATTTTATGTTATGATAATTTACCACACATATTTTATTAGGGCAAATTACCTACATTACCATGAGGTTTAACTAAATTATAAATTTCTTTTTGAGGTTTTAGAAATTATATCCTGTCCTATCGTAATTAATGCCGTTAACGGTGATAATAAATTGATTAAAATGCCTTTGGATAAATTACACTGACACCCCCTGAGATTTTATTTAGTACAAAATCCCCCTTACATTTGAAAAATTGTATTCCTCTCCTTCAAATTTGTAATCTGATTACAAATTACACCCTAGATTACTGATATCATGTCCTAAATTTTTTTAAATGACCATCTTGCCCTTTTTCTTCTTCCTATTATCATGATTGCATTTTACAACTTTTCATCATTAAATTCTATCTAAAAATATTATTATTGAGTGATGATGTACAAATATAAATTTTATATAGAATTTTCCAAACACAATGACATAATTTAATGATGACTTTTCATTTTAAAACAAATCATCCAAAAACATGATTTATATATTTACAATATATCAATATCACAGCATTTTTATGATATTTTTTGTATAAATTTTTATATATGAATATAATTTTTTAATTTTTATTTCCACAATTATATTTATCTTAGTACTTGAAATCTCCTAATTACTCTATTATCACAATATTTTCCAATTGCTCCTTATAATTAAATTTAGCCATATCTTGCCATCATTGTCATGGACCCTTCACATGTTTTTATACTTTTTATTTGTACTCTTTAGACTGACTACTGTCAAAATATACATTCATATCAATTTTTTAATAGGTCTTATTTATTAATTATATATTTTAATTAAAAAATTAAAAAGTTATTATAAATTGTCACATTACTCTTTCTATTTTTTTACATATTTTTTTGTAAAAAATTAAAAAAATATTAAAATAATCTATTTCCTAACGAGGCTTAAGTTGCGATTTGGCATGTGATTTTTTTAATTAACTTTTTAGCGTCGGTTAAAAAATTTGTTTGGATTGACTCTTTTTGTTTTTTTTTAATTTTTTATAAGAGAAAAAATAAAATGATTATAATTTGAATGTATATTTTATTTTATTAACTTTTAAACTTATTTTGTCTTTTTTAAACTAATTCAGCCCAAAAAACTAATACCAAACGAAACGTAAGAAAAATATTTTACATGGTAAAGTCCTCACCTCTTGAGTAAGAGCAATGGTAAACTCATTTTCTGTTATGACAGTCTACCACACATATTTTATTAGGGCAAATTATCTACACTCCAATGAGGTTTAACTAAATTATAAATTTCTTTTTGAGGTTTTAGAAATTATGTCCTATCCTATTGTAATTAACGTCGTTAAAGAAGATTATAAATTGATTAAAATGCCCTTGGGTAAATTACACTGACACCCTGTAAGGTTGCATTTAGTACAGATCCCTTCTCACATTTGAAAAATTGCATTCCCCTCCTTTAAATTTGTAATCCCATTACAAATTGCTCTCTAGATTACTGATATCATGTCCTAAATTTTTTTAAAAGACCATCTTACCCTTTTTCCTACCATTTCTTCTTCCTATTATCATGACTGTATTCTATAACTTTCCATCATTAAATTCTATCTAAATATATTGTTATTAAGTGATGATGTACAAATATAAATTTTATATATAATTTTCCAAACACAATGATATAATTTAATGGTAACTTTTTATTTTAAAACAAAACATCCATAAACATGATTTATATATTTACAATAATATCAATATCACAACATTTTTATGATATTTTTTGTATAAATTTTTATATATGAATATAATTTTTTTTTTTTATGTCCACAATTATATCTAGCTTAGTTCAATTTAATTTAGATATATTTAAAAAGTATAAAATGTGCAAATTTTTTTTAAAAGAATCCATTGAATACAAAAAAATAAGATAATGTATTGAAATTTTCTAAGCTAATATTTCAATTTCAAGCTACTTGAGTGCTCTTTCTTCATTCATTCTATGTTGAAGAGTATTCCATGGTATTTATTACAAAAAAAAAAAAAAAAAAAAAACTATTCACCCAAAAAAAAAAAAAACCCAAAAAATAACAAATTAACTGAATAAGTTGTGAATACAAAATGAATTAATTGAATAAATTATGAAATACAAAATTAAAATGGAAAAACACTTAACAGATGGTGAAAATATCATAAATTAACAAATAATAAAATAAGTTACCAACGCAATAAATGATTTATCAAAAGATTCTTAGGTATGTTTGGTTCGATTTTTAGAAATTTTAAAAAAAAAAATTAAAATTGAATTTGGTTAAGAAATAAAAAATAAAAAATAATTATCATTTTTATATAATTTTATTTCTTGATATGTTAGAAATAATTTTTACAAATTAAATATATTTTTTCATATTTATTTTTATTAAATTAGTTTTCATTGTTTCAAAAAAAAAAATTCTGAAATTTTTTTCTAAACAATAAACCAAACATTGTTCCAAAAACAAGCCAATTAGTAATGGTATGTTGTTTTTTTTTTTTTTTTTTTTCATCTAACGTAATTCTTTTGTAAATTTGGTTGATTTATCAAAGAGATTTAAGGTTAAATCAAGTTGTTTGGTGCTTTGGAAAGATACTAGGGGCAATATCGATTTTAGTAATGTCAACATG